TTCCCCCCCCCCCCCCCCCCAAAAAAAAATTCACTTTCCTTATATATGTATAACAAAACATGTGGCTCAACAAAATTTCTCTCTTCTTAACGAATTCCATTTACACTTTTTTTTCACTTTTCAACGCTTCCATAAAAGCCAAACGGTGATGATTTTTATAGGGCAGCGGTAGTTTATCCTAACAACAAAATTGCTCACTGCTGTTTGATCTTGTCAGATTGGCAACTGTGTTGGTGCAGGAAACCACTTGTTTTTCATCATGTTCCTCATATCAGCAGTGATCAGCACGGTCTACGTCACATTCATGTCCGCTTATGCAGCATACCACAGCTGGCCACCTTTCAGCCACCGTGCCGCCATCCATCCGTGGGCCCGAACACTTGACGATGGGATGTTCCTCGCAACACTGAAAGAATTCATGGCCGCCTTTCTGAGTTCATTGTTGTTTCTGGAGACAAGAGGGATTGTTCTACTGTACTTGTTCATTTGTAGTGTCTCTGTGGAGATAGGGTTAAGTGCGCTCTTGTGGCAGCAGCTCTTCTACATTTACCAGGGCAAGACCTACTTGAGCCATTTGCGCTCTTCTTCGCATGAGACCAGCGACGAAACTGCAACAAAGGGGTGCGAAAACGTCACTCGCTTCTTCGGATGCCCTTACAGCGCAAAAAGATATCTGCCAATGTTTGTGAGTTCTAGTAATAAGATTCACAAGAGGTGAAAAAGCTTGAAGAAGAATTACTTGGCTAATTATATCTCTCCCCTTTATGTTGATTTGTTGTATTATTGTATCACTTTTTTTTTTTGCTAACTCTTTGAACCCTTTTGCAGATTGGGTTCTGGTTGTAGCCCCTTGATTTTGACACATTCCATTTTTGTTGGATACTTGGAAGTATGGTATTCAAAAGTTTGTAAATTTGTAAAATTGTTCTTGATAATGTTTTGTAGTAGGGGTGTGTGTGACCATCAGAAGTATTTAAAGATTGTGATAATTTTTTTTTAGAATTGTATTGCACATCATTATGAACATGATTGTTACTTTTTATAATTGTCCATTAAGGTAAAATTATGGGTTTTGAAGTGAGTATTATTTTTGTCAGAAATTGACAACAATATGTTTATAATTGATAGTAATAGTAATAGGATGATAGTCATATCTCTAATATAAAACCAATAATAAAATTAATTTGCAAAATACTCCAGTAATTTATTTAGGGTGCAAAACAGATTTTTTTTAAAAAATTTATAACAAAGGAATTGTTCTTCCATCATCTCCGATGGAGCCAAAATTGCACCATTTTTTGGCTTTGGGGTGTGATGGAATAAATTAAAATGGATCTCTAAACTGTCTGCGCTTCGTTAATTAATGAAATAGCAGTTAGTCAAGCAATGCAACTTTCGACGTTGAGCAAGGAGTCTCTTTGAAAACAGTCTCTCTACTTTCGAGTAGGGGTAAGGTCTGCGTACACACACCCTCCTCAGACCCTACTCTTGTGAGATTTAACTGGGTTGTTGTTGTATAACAAAGGAATTGTTATGTCCATTCAACCTTAACAAATTTTGTTGTCTCAAAACAGTTCAACCCTGCTTCCTTCTCAAATTAATTTGATCATGTGGACTTTACAATGGTTAAGAAAGATGCATTAGTTCAAATTTCGCTTTTAGATATGTAAATTTTGGATAATACTACGGGGTATAATATACTCCGTACAAAAATTGCTAAGAATTTTAAAAATAAGCAATATCACCTCATTAATTAATATGATAAGCCTATTCTCGTACTTCACATTGAAAATGTAGTCATGTAGAAAATAATATAATGAAGACTAATCCAATTGAAACATACAAAATAGATTGTAGAGAATATGACAAAGCATTCTTGACTCGTGCTGGAAAGAAAAGAAATTATTTTTTTGGGTATGAATTTTGAAAATTTAGTTGCAAACCAATAAAATCCGAATAATGAAAAATGCTAACTTTTAAATGGAAAATAATACGGAGTAATTAGTATATGACTAGAAAAATCTTGGAACCTCTGTTGATGATGGGCTCCGAGCGACTGTTCCTCTAGCCTATTTCTAAGGCTAACTCATGTGTTAAAAAAAATTGAATATTAAAATATGATTGATTAAAATTTATTTAGAAATGTTTTTGACATTTTCTTTAAAAAACTAGGAAAAAGTGTTTTTTTTTAAAAAAATGTAGAAAGAATGTGAGAACTTTTGCGAGTGCTAATACAAAAATGAAATTAGGAATAAATGGATAATGGAGTCAAATGTTTGAGGATAAGATCATGAGACCACCACACAAAGGGCAAGACTTTGAGATAGGGAGAGAAAGAGATCAAAAGAATGATGGGTGCCATTCCCAGCAATAAGCCATTTGCAGCTAAATCAGCTCACACAATATTCCCAAAGGCCACCAAATCAACTCCTCCATCATCATCATCATCTTCTTCTTCTTCAACTAAGAGAAATGATCTCCCTTTCCCCATGGTAGTAACAGCCTCACCTTCTGTCCAATAAATTGCTTGTTGAAACATTTTTTTTGTAAAGTGAATTAAATGAAAGATAAGTCATTTGAACATGTTTAGAGATAATTTTGTACCCATAATTGATTTGGTCAAAACAGAGAAGAAAAAAGTGATTTAAACATATGTATAAAGAAACCTACTTATTTGTTATATCTGACAATTGCAGATGAAGAAAAGAGGCAAAAGAGCAGCTAGAGGTGTGATAACAATACCAACATCATCAGATAGAAGAAGATGGGATGAGAGGGGGAATTGTGAGTTCAACTTGTCCCTGCAAGATCTCCACCTACAAGACCTATCTGAGGACACAAATAATGCCCAACTTTCCATCACTCTCTCCATTCAAAAGGTTCCCATCTTTGGTCACCTGCATTTTTCTTGCAAAATGTTATTTGACATGTTCACTAAATTGGGATTTTTACTTGAAAATCAATTTCTTGATTCTTGGGCAAAACGTCGATCAGAAACTGCCGACAGCATCAACAGTTTCGAAAAATGTTGTTTGAATAACCATTTTGACAACATGTTGCCAAAATGTTATTCCAAATGGTTGGTAAAGTAATTGTATATACTGCTAACCGCTAATCGCAACCACACCCATCATTATTAAGTATGGAGTATGATTTTGGAGTCAAATTTCAAATTAATATGGGAAAAAAAATAGTAGTATTAGTAGTAGTAAATATTATTGTTCATGTTGTCAGCACATAGGCTTTGGACTATCTGTGGAGGGTAGAGTCATAACATCCATAGCCAGAAAATGCAGAAACTGTTCTAAACCCTACTGCAAAGAGGTATGTTAGTTCATGTTGTTAGCTCACATTTCCCCATAAATATCTATCACTTTCTCTTTACACTATGTTTTGTTCAAGGAATTTGAGTGGGAAAAGAAAAGAAAATGAGAAAGAAAATATTTTTCTTATTTGGTTAGAGAGGAAAAGAAAAGCAAAGTGGAAGGAAAAGAAAATGAGAGGGCAAAATGTATTAAGAGGACGGAAAACCAAATTCTTCTTGTTTTGGTGAGGAAAATGAGGGAAAGCCATTTTCTTTCCTTTCATAACCAAACATCGTGTTAAAGAAATTATTGTGTATTACATATAATTTCTCTTAAAACATATGCAATTAGGTTAATAAGTCTATCTCTTATATGGTGAGTGATATGTTACTATTTGAGTGAAGTACCAATATGTGATGCTTTAAGGCAACACAAACATAGCATCAGTTTGACACCATGTGTTTCGCTTACATAGACAGACGATGGTCATACACGTTTGTGCGGCCCGCATTTTGGATGTTTGTCCATGTCTGTGTTGACGCACGATGTCAGTTTTTCGTGTCAACCTTACTATGACTGTAACATGGTTCTTCTCAGATTGATGCAAACTTCAACGCATGGGTTCTGCCAAGCCGGCAAAAGTCCTCTTCTCATGAACTCCCCCTCATAGGGTTGGATGACCCCTCAGTGAGTCTCAAGTGTTTCTTTGTGCTCTTTCACCCCTCAGTGACTCTCAAAGTGTTTGTAACTCTCCATGTTTTTCCTAAGCAGGTTATCTATGTGAAACCGGGGAACGAAGCCAACCTTGATTCTCTAGTACAAGATACTCTTCGAGTTGCAACCTCAGTGAATGTATGCATAAGTGTCTTAAATGAGTCATGTTCTTTGACACCAAGACTCAGTTTCTTAATCTGACACCAAGTCCATTTGAAGGACCAAGGTGTTGAGTTAAAAAAGAACTCCAGTCATATTTAGATATCAGCAAAATGAGGATAAGAATTTGGTTTCTTTTGCAGGAGACTTGTTCAGAATCTTGTGAGAAATCTGAACCGAAAATGCAGCAAGGTAAGAAATATTTACAGAAGCACGAACTAACGATAACAATCACTCAAAAGCTTAGCTGTTACTGAAGTAACTTTTTCCCCCGATTGCAGCCCGGGGTAAACCGAATGCTGCATCTATCGACAGGAGGTGGTCAAGACTGTTGGAGCTAAAACAATCCGGTTTATGAAACATGTACATTTAATAGTTGATATGGCATATATAATTGTATTAACAGCAAGGTTTTCAATAGAGACATGATCCCATTCATTCATTATAACAAGGGACATCTTGTCATTAACAGTCCATACTGTTAGAAAATTCTTAAACCCACACTAATTTAAATACTTATTATAAACTGAACGTTATTGTTTATACGAGTATATGTGATATCAATGCAAATAAAGTACTAGTCGATGTAAGCTATTTTCTTAACTACGGAGTATTAAGCAAACATTTTAACCATATTATAAACTTTTAAAAACCCAAGAATATAAACCCCACTAACTAATCTTAATATAGAATTATATTAAAGTTAAAAATCGATACGAGTAATTTATATATTTACATAAAAAACTTTGATGTTATAATGAAAATGAAAGTATTACATAAAAAACACAAATTCTTCGTAATTGATTTTACATACGATGTCTTTGGAAGTATTTGAAATCTCCTAAATGTTTGTTGAGCACTCAACACATTTTTTTATGTAAAATTGAACCGAAAGGAACAATAACCTTCTGTTTGGTTTTTGTTTTTATGTAAAAATCAAATTAGATAAACATTCCAAAGTATGGAAGATGATTTTTTATTCGCTACGATCGCATGAAAACTGGAAAGAAATAACTGTCAAACAGAGCATCCTTCAATAATAGTTCAAGTCAGGAAACATAATTCTGAACATATAGAGAACATAATCTTCCTTAAATGGACTTCCAATTTTCATTTTTTTTGTTTTCAAAATAATGTTTTTTCTATGCCCTCTGTTGACAGACAAAGAGCCAATTCTTCTCTAGCTGCGGCTTCCACGTCTTCATCAACGAGCTCCTGTGGCTGAGGCATGAACCTACGTGCCCTTTCCCCATGGTATAGTAACAACCTCACCTTTTTTTCCTTTTAAATCATTACTACATTATTGAATCCTCCTTTTATCCTAATTTACAGGGTGTTTCATTGTTATAAACAATTTTTAACTTATAAATTGCTTATTGGAACAAGTTTTCTAAAGTAAATTAGATTAAGTATAAGTCATTTGAATATGTTAATAAAAGGTTAGATATAGTTTTGTACCTGTAATTGATTTGGTCAAAACAGAGAAGAAAAAAATGACTTAAAAATAAGTACTAATAAACCTATTTTTTTATTTTATTTTTTATGTTTGTTATAACTTACGGAGTATTAATTACAATTACAGATGAAGAAAAGAGGCAAACATGTTCTAAACCATACCAACATGTTCTAAACCAGGCTTTGGACTATCTGTGGATGGTAGAGTCATAACATCCATAGCCAGAAAATGCAGAAACTGTTCTAACCCCTACTGCAAAGAGGTATGTTAGTTCATGTTGTTAGCTCACACCCCTTCCCATAAATATCTATGACTTTCTCTTTAAAGAAAATATCCATGATTGCCTGTCCGTGTATGTGTTTGACACATGATATGTCAAACTTTAGTGTCAACCTTGCTATGACTCTAACATGGTTCTTCTCAGATTGATGCAAACTTTAATGATTGGGTTCTGCCAAGCAGGCAAAGTGTTGCAACTTCAGTAAATGTACACATAAGTATCTTATATGAGCCATGTTCTTTTGACACCAAGGGTTGGCTTGTTAATAAAACCGTTTAGAATGATGGATTACAAGTGATGGGGAATTCAAAATAGCTATGCACCATCTAATGGGAAAACAATTGAATGCTGCACATGTCTGCTCACTTAATGAATGCCCCATCTCCCTACTTCAAAGACTTTGAAGAGAAACAGAAAGCAAAATTATGTCCAAAGATAGACAAAGCAGGACAGATCCCTCTACTGTTTACTAAGAGTGAATTAGTACAACTGTGAGCCTCAGTAAATTGAAAGGCCGTGTCCTAAAAAAGATGATAGTACCTGGTATGGGTGGAAGAAGAACTCTTACGGCAAACCAATTGCTGCAGACTGCAGTAGCTCCTGAGGTCATCACTTGAATCAAGGAATTTAGTCTTGAAGGCACTACCTTCTAAGAGCACAAGTCAACTGTGGGAAATTGAGATGCATTTAACCACACCTATTTCTACTTGAATTACAATCAACAGAAAAGGTAACTGGTAGCAACAATACTTGAATGGACAAAAATTCGTTCTTACAATCGCAATAACCAAAACAACCATCAATGTGCAAACACAGTACAAAGTTTTATAACGATAAAAATGTAATTGAAGCATAGATCATAACGAAAAGATAACTGTAGAATCATCCATTGACTATAGAGCAGAGTGGCCTCTCCTGTGCGATGCATCGTGGCCTTGGGCTGCCTGTTCCAAGTCCAAAAGCAGGTCCTGGTCCTGACTCAGGTACCTCTGGTGCACAATGTAGTCAAATAATCCCCCAATGAAACCGAAAATGTTCTGTGAAGCAACTAAATACAAAGTTTTAGTCAACACATCTTGTATGGTGACAAATTGGGCAAAGATAGCACTAAAAATGGCTACTAAAGCACTGCCAAATGGTATCATTGTGGTAGATAGACTGAACAGCACACCACAAAAAACAAGTCTTTTCAAGGATATTCACTTTTTTCAGGGAAGTTCTTGGCCATATAAACTGCCCCTACTTGTCCTATGGTGTCAATAAGTCAAATGATAAAACTTCTTCACAAGACTCCTCCGCCTCTGGAGAGAAGCGGAGTTGACAGGTCCCAACGCGCCACCATTTTAATCCATCCCTTGAAAACTAGAACATGAACAGAGGGGATAACAAGGGAAAACATTGCCTAAGAAGCAACACTCATAATCGAAATGACCTCAAATCCCACGAGCGAATGAAACCCAGCTATTGCACTTAAGACATATGCAGTCATGTCTCTCAGGTTCCAAGCACCAATTATTAAATCTCTGATCATTTTCACCATCTAGCTTTAAACTCTAAAATTAAAACACCATACTATAATACGGAGTATATAAAACATTACGCTCACAAAAATATACTAAATTCATAGAAACCCTAGAACCCGGTAGAAGAGAGACGGAAGAGAAATCTCCCGAACCTGTTAACGCCATTATGATGGTGAAATTTTGAAACGGAAAAGGAAGGCTTGACGAAGGTTGAAGATGAAGGACATGCCTTGGTTCGACACAGTGACTTCAAAGAAGAAGGTCCCGACTCTCTCAAAGACTAGACTTAGAGTGCGAGTTCAAGGGTGCAATTCTTACATCCTTGGGCTTTCTATTTGAAAGGATGGCATATCAACATATTTGGGCCAGGTAACTTGGTGGCCTATTTGACAATGTCGAAAATTCAAGTCCACTATATTATACCAAAGGAGAATAGATATTATACATCTGGGTGTACCTAGCAACAAATGTTCATTTTGAATCAACGTAGCATTCATTTTTCACACATTAGTTCCTTCCAATTATAATATTCACTTACGAACAACAAATTGTTTATTCTGAAATAAAGTAGTGTTCATTCCAAGCCCGCTCAGCTTAGTGTCCATTCTAAAGCAACGGAGTGTTCATTCCGCAATTCTTATCGTCGGTGGTTTGCTCAGCAACAACACCTTCACCATGGTTGGCACTGCGATAGCGTGCATTTCATTTTTGGAAAAAAATGTCCATTTTTGTGTGTGCTAGTGCTCATTCAGACATGTCATGGTACTCATTTGTAGTTTGAGCAATGGATAAAATATATTCATTTTTCTCTTTGCTAGTACTTATTTTTAATACATAAAAAATCAATTAAAATACAAGTTTGTCATGATTTCGAAAAACTAAGGTACCCCCGAGTGCGCCTTAGAATTTGCAATCATACAAAGTATCAAGCACTATTCAAACGATACAATATTTTTTCATATTTTAGAACCTCATCACCTATTACGAAGAGCTAGCATTTCACACGCACAATGCATGAAAATTTAATAATTTGAGATTAGACACGATAACAGCGTTAACATGTTCGTGAGATTAGAACCTCTTCCGTCTCTCTTCTGCCGAGTTCTTAGGTTTCTATGAGTTTAGTATATTTTTGTGAGCGTAATATTTTATATACTCCATATTATAGTACAGTGTTTTAATTTCAGAGTTCAAAACTAGATGGTGAAAATGATCAGAGATTTAATAACTGGTGCTTGGAACCTGAGAGACGGGTCTCAGCAACTGCATATGCCTTAAGTGCAATAGGTGGGTTTCATTCGCTCGTGGGATTTGAGGTCATTTTGATTACGAGTGTTGCTTCTTGGGCAATGTTTTCCCTTGTTATCCCCTCTGTTCATGTTCTAGCTTTCAATGGATGGATGAAAATGGTGGCGCGCTTGGGGCGTGCCAACTCCGCTTCTCTCCATAGGCAGAGGAGTCTTGTGAAGAAATTTATCATTCGACTTATTGACACCATAGGACAAGTAGGGGAGGTTTATATGCCCAAGAACTTCCCTGAAAAAGTGAATATTCTTGAAAAGATTTGTTTTTTGTGGTGTGTTGTTCAGTCTATCTACCATAATGATACCATTTGGCAGTGCTTTAGTAGCCATTTTTAGTGCTATCTTTGCCCAATTTGTCACCATACAAGATGTGTTGACTAAAACTTTGTATTTAGTTGCTTCACAGAACATTTTCGGTTTCATTAGGGGATTATTTGACTACATTGTGCACCAGAGGTACCTGAGTCAGGACCAGGACCTGCTCTTGGACTTGGAACAGGCAGCCCAAGGCCACGATGCATCGCACAGGAGAGGCCGCTCTGCTCCATAGTCAATGGATGATTCTATAGTTGTCTTTTCGTTATGATCTATGCTTCAATTACATTTTTATCGTTATAAAACTTTGTACTGTGTTTGCACATTGATGGTTGTTTTGGTTATTGCGATTGTAAGAACGAATTTTTGTCCATTCAAGTATTGTTGCTACCGGTTACCTTTTCTGTTGATTGTAATTCAAGTAGAAATAGGTGTGATTAAATGCATCTCAATTTCTCACAGTTGAACTAAATAATTTTCTTGTGCTCTTAGAAGGTAGTGCCTTCAAGACTAAATTCCTTGATTCAGGTGATGACCTCAGGAGCTACTGCAGTCTGCAGTAGCTGAATATCAAGGAGGAGAATGAGGTGATGTTTGATTCAGTATCAAGTCCCACACTGAATATCAAGGAGGAGAATGAGGTGATCGTCATCCACAGCGACGACGACGCCGATGTTGCCCCGGTCAAAGAGAATAAGGTGGTAATCGACCTTGTTGATGAGGAAGATTGTGTAATTTTTATTGCAAGTGATGAAGAAGAGATTTATGATATTGAATTTGGAAGTGAAATTGTTGAGAATCCAACTTTGCCATTGATGAAATCAAGCATGCACCTCCACTTAGACATGCTGAATATATTAATGCCCAGTCCAGATCCAAACTTTTGAGCCTCAACGTACAAGTAGGGAAGTTACTTTCCTTTCATTACATGTGTTTCTGGTTTTATTATGCCTTGAATTCTAAACCTTTGATTATGTTAAAAAGACTATGTGCATGTTATACATTGATGCCTCTAGGATCTTAATTGCCCAGATTCAATGATGATTAAGTGTAAACTGTGATGAGCATGTTTTTATAAATATGCTAAGTGTGTACATTTTGCCTTCCTAAACCTTTGATTGTTGAATGTGTTTGTGGATGTTTCTTGCCTAAACCTCTAACATATTACTTAGCAAACCTCTATGATGACTGGTATTTGCATCTATCTCACTTGAAGAGAGTACTATGATGAGCTAAACAGAATTCCTAAAATGGCTCTGAGCAACACCTTTGGATATCCTTAAATGCTTTAAGTGTATCATTCATTGTCAAAGTGTATGTGTATGTTATACATTGATGCCTCTATGATCTGAATTCCCCATGATTAAGTGAATACTGTGTTGAGCATGTACTTATAAATATGCTAAGTGTATACTATGATGCCCATATTGCCTGGCATACTTCTATGATGACAGGTATTTGCACCTGTCTCAGAAGAATAGAGTACTATGATGAGCTTTTTGAATTCCTGAAATGGCTCTGAGCAACACCATTGCATACACTTAAATGGTTTAGGTGTATCATTCAGTGTCAAAGTGTGTGCATGTATTCCTTCTTTGTCACATTCTGTGAGGACTGCAACTTACTGTTGATGAGCATTTTATAATGATGGAATGACTCTGAGTACCAAATGTCTCAAAATCAGCAATAATGATGTGGGGAAGGGCTTTTGAGAATCATATGTTGCATTTAAGTTACATATAGAGCAGATTGTGTGTAGTTACCTTGATGTGAGTGCATATATGGCAGTGTATTACCAAATGCAAGAATCAGGAATGATGATGCAAGAATCAGGAATGATGATGTGGGAAAGGGCTTATGAAAATCATATGTTGCATTTAAGTTACATATAGAGCAGATTGTGTGTAGTTACAAAAAGCAAAAAGTAATCTGCTAATGTGGCTACCATTTACAAAAAGTAACACCTCAAAAGTAAATATGGTAACCACTTACAAAAGGCAAAAAGCAAAAAACAAGCTTTCTTACATCCATGGACTTAGTTCAACTCCGAAGGCAGGAATTCCTCTCCCTCTTCAGTG